GCTACTCCCGTGAAAATGCACCGATTGACCCCAAATTCACGGAGATGAAAGATGACCTGAAGGGTAACACTTTCCATTAATATTATTAGTTAAGTCTGTGTGGTGTCTGAATAAGACCGCAAATAATTTTTTTTTCGGCAAAAATTTTGTTTTTTTGAAAATTTTGGCCCGTTTGACCTTAAAATAAAGGTCAAAGGTCAAATCCAAGGGCATATTTGAAATCTACACATATGACTTTTGGAAAGCTGTCTGTAGAAATTTTTCCCATAATTCCTTCTGTAGGGGAGATAATTAGCATTTAATTTTGCCATTTTTGGACAAGGGTGCATTGCAATGAGTGCCACACCTAGACCCCAATACCGACAAAGCCCAAATTTTACGTGGAACGAGTTGAGATTATAGGTGACCTAAATCCAAGAGATGGGTATGGAGGCCCTTACCGTCTAGGAGGAGAAGCGGTAACGGTGACTTGGCGGCGGAGCCGCAGGAGCCGCAGGAGCCGGCGGAACATACGGGTCGGGACTAAAACCATGTGTACCGCCAGCGCCTACGCTGGTGGTACAATGATAACAGTATTCAATACTCTACACAATTTACTTTTCAGTATTCTAAAAAATCATAACTATATTCTTAAAAAAAAAGAAAAAAGATTACGAAGAGAAAATAAATAAATATACGTCTATGAGATTACTCTCCTTCATCCCCTCCCTCAATCACTTTCTTCTTTGGTCGCAGATGATGTGGTGCAATGTTAAATGGGTTAAGAGAAAACAATGGAGACTGCGAGGGAAAATCTTGAGCATTACTGTCATCCTGAGTCCTCTTCATATGAGGTATAAATGTCGAGTCCACTACAACAGTTGTGCTCCTGTCACGTCTGACTCTTGACTTTTTTGGTGGTCTGCCTCTTTTTCGTTTTTCTGGGATAGGAACTGGAGGTACATCATTCGAGTCTTTTCCATTTGACATTGTGATCTGATCATTTACAATTTGCTGACTGTTTGACTGACTACTGTCTGGCACAGGGTTATTATCTGCTGAAAGAGTGTGTTGTGTCCCACTTGTGCCTGGCACTGGTGCATTAGACGATCCCGTTTCTGTCTGCTTAGACTTGAGTAATTCTACAATTGAAGAACGAGGTTGTTTACAACACGATGGATACTTGTACATTCAAGTCTCTGAATGCTAGATACTTACTAGCATTCAGAGACTATCTACAGTAATCCTAAAATACCCTTGCTACGCATCCATTTCAAACAGAACATTACTGTTACAGTAGATAATTGTATGAAAGTGAAGAACAAAACAACATTAATCCAACTCCATGGGGATTGGAAGGTGACTCACATATAAACATCTATCAAGTCTAGGTTTTAACAAGTTTCTAATTTCATACCATCATCATCCATTGCTTTCCATGTGGCATCACAGGTCTTCTTTCTGTCATGTATGTCTACTCTTAAGTGAAGCAGCTCATACTTTTGCTTCATCAACTCCCTCTGTTCTTCCAGATCAGATTCTTTCAGCACCCCTGCTAAATTCTGTAACAAGTCCAGGACTACAGCAGAGTCTGAAAACATCAAATAAGATCACGTTTTAGATCAATATTACTTTGGGGTTACGCTAATACACTCCGGGGTATGGGTTACAGTTATGGACTGCCAAATGTAACCTGTGAAAATAGAATCATAAGTCAAAGAGTATGCGGAATAAAAATGTATGGAATAATTCCCCATACTCTTGGTTTCAGTAGAGTAAAGAATGGTCATCTACACATCTGTTCATATGGTATTTTCTTTGGTTTAAAATTATAAAACTATTCAGTGATAGCTAGTAATTAAGAATAAAAAAAATTACTGTGGACAAAGGCAAGTGTATTTTACTTTCAGTGTGTGTGTGTGTGTGTGTGTGTGTGTGTGTGTTTGTGTGCACGTGCACATGTGAACTTACCCAAAGGACTGAGATCTGGAGGGTCTTCACCTTTTAAAGCAGCCACTATGTAGCTATAAATCTCTTGATAATTCGGATCATATCTGGACTTAGGCAGGCGATGGGGCTCAAGATTCCCAGCTATAGACATGACCTGGAAAATAAAAACATACACTGTGAAATGCACTCAGTATGCACTTAGTATTTAATCTTATCCCTACCCAATACTCCAATTGTCACACAAGAGAATGGTTTTCTAACAACTGCCGATACTCAAATAGTCTTTTATAATAGATCATGTAGGGTTTTTTATATAAATTAACTATTAATTAAACTACCACGGAGATGTTTTTTCTTCATCTGTATTCAAAATTTATTCTTTTAGACCAGAAATAATCCATAAACAAACCATCCAATGACCAGTACCCAGTTAAACAAACTGTCATTACTTTGCTCAATTTCTGAATAATTGTTAGCTTATAAATCTTTCTGTTGTAAGATGCAGCTTGTATGACTGTTTTTAGATTTTTTTCTGGAATAGTTCTAGGACATTATTTTAGGGCAAATTTCAGCTCACGCCAGCAGATACAGTTTCAGACTCTCATTACACATTGCATCTGAAACATGAATTTAACAACTGAGCGAGAACAACGTTATTTCCCCAAATCAGATGATTGTTTTTGAAAAGCAGGCTCAGGTCCCTAGTGTTTTTCTCACCTTTGCTAAATCATAGGAATGATCCTGGTCATAAGACACGAGATTTTCTGCAACACGCAGCCATACCTGGGGTCAGAAAAATATCACATAATTAGCCAAATTACTTACATTAACTTAGTGGACTATACCACAGGTTATGACCAAAAGCCCTTACCTACTGATACGCAAAACTAAGTAAGTGGGGTATGACAGTTCCAATGACAATAATCCTCTATCATTAACATCATGCTGCTGTCATTACAACACCATTTACAGTTCCTAAGACAAGTCTAATGGACATCTTACATCAATTAGCCATACATTTCTGTAACTCATAATGTTTCCAGCAATGTCCAAAAATAACCAAAAATAATTTTTGGTAAGCAGATCAAACTGTTGGACCCCCCCCAAGCCTGGTATAAAATGTGCCACACCGTGGAAAAAAAGAATGGCAGATTCTATGGCAGAAAAAAATGGCAGATTCTACTTACCGCAATAGGAGCCATGATCTTGTTCTTTAGCGTCTCTGCAGGAGCTTGGTAACAGGAAAGAAAAGAAATTTTTAGTACACACTAATTGATGCTCCGTTCAGGGTACACTCAAATATACTGGAGTCAAAAGACATACATAACAAAATTAAAAAAATAAATAAATAAAAAAAAAACAAAAATAAACCAAATAATTTTCCTGAAAATTGTTGCAATTTTACCTTTAGGCATACTCTATCCTAAACCATATGAAAATTACAGTCTTTAAGCCTGTTTTTGAGCTATTTATTTCTAAAGCATTCTTTCTGTCAGAAAGCAAATTCACCAGTCTCCATGCATCTCCATAATAAGGGGGGCTAAAAAATATGACATACTGAACTCAATAACCATTTCATAGATACTTGTATTACCAACAGCTTTTGATGTGGCAGAGTTAGATGTGATTATGAGAGAAGTGTTAACATTTCCAGGAAAATTAATTTTCTGCTATGCGAGTGTCTAATGCTCATTATGCAACTTTAAGGTCACATGCTGCTTGATTTGAAACCTTTAATGTCAAACTCCAGATAGGATACTGCAGGATTTGATTACAATTCCCTTCTATATTATACCTCCATAATATTTGTTAAGTCTACTGTAAAATAAGTAGTGGACAGAATCACAGACCACTGCTGTTGAATATTATTGACTTATTACTTACCCTAAATACAAGTGTTAAAAAGAATGTAATTCTTTAGTATATGCTATAACATGTTCCAATGACAATGTGCAATTCACCACAAAAAAGCATATCATGTACATGCAAAGAGAGAAAGTATTGTTGAAATGACATTTAAGCATTTTTCAAGGTGATCAAATGAATCAAAAAGTTAAAAGGACGCATAAATTAAACAAACGTGTACATTAAGGATAAATTTATATGTCCTTTTAACTTTCTGATTCATTTAATCAAGGTTGTACAAGGTAAAGAAGGCAATTACTACAACCATCCCAAATTCCTAAAATTTGATCATTTACTTACCTGAAGCCCTTATTCTAATAGCATCTATGTACCATTTGATCTGTAAAAAAAGTACAATGTAAAATGAGTGCAAATTATAATATCCTATCATGATATTCACATTAGAGAGTTTCCGTTGTCGGTGAGATACGCCGGCTAGATTAATACGTCATTGGTTTGTGCGCACTTGTGACGTTCACCGCGTTCATATACCGTCGTCCAACATAGTCTGCAGAATACAAGCGCTCCTATCTAGCCAGTGCAGAAGATTATTGAAAATAGTTATTAAAGGTTATGTTTCCTAATTTATATGCCTTATATACTTTTTTACAATAGTTCAAGTGTACGTTCATGCAAATTTAGACTTTTTAAGAGAGAGGAGTCGCTAGTTTTGGTTTATCAGGCACGTTATCGGGGGTTGATCGTGGGGTTCTTACTAACCGCCATATTTGTTGGGAAAATTTGCACTTTTTGGTAATATTTGTCTCCTTTTTTATAAAAAAGAATATCCCCCTTGGAAATAGATGGCTAAGGGGTCGTATATTGTTATTATATTGAAAGCGCCAGCATTCCGGGACTTTACCGGAACGTGAAAAGAGTAGCGCGTTACTAGATACATTTGCACATACGTAACAATCTAGCCGTCGTATCCCAACTGCACCGGAAACTCTCTATTAATCAAAAGCCCCATATTTGTATCCTTGAGTTCAGATTCAGAAACAAATAATACGTGGACTTACTGATCCTAAAATGGCCGAACCCCACTTAAAAGCAAGCCACCTAATCGCCTCATGGTCTCCCTGCCTCCACACATGCCATTAAACAGATTAAATTTCAGCTCCAAGGTTTAATTGCTAGGCCCCTGCAGAGAAGGCACTTGTGAAGACAGGGAGACCATCAGGGGATTAATCGGCATTGCTTTTCAGTGGGTCAGACATATTTGATCCACGGATCTGTAAGCTGGCAGATCAAGTTGTTCTGGATGTGATGGAAGTCACCGTTTTTGACATCAACTTGAACTAAAACAAAAGCCACGTCTTAAAAATAAAAATGATGCTGTCTCACTGCTTAGCATCAAATTTAATGAATGTTTAGAACGATTCCCTCATGTTATATCACAGATATCAAGAATATCTGTAGTGTGTAACATTCTTTCAGATAATGATAAATATTTGATTTACCTCCTCTTCTGATCTTGTGGGGATAAGCTTATGCATTTCAGCATAATCATCGATGGAACAACTATAATACAATGAATTTCAACATCAGTGTATATAATAATCATTAAATATAATTATGGACAATTCAATATCATCAAAGTACAAGATCTACAAGAGAGCCCAAAAAAGTAACAATAGTAAAAATATATAATATCTAAGCTCAAATTTCATAATTCATAAGAATATCATAATATTTATCTAAAAAAAAAAAAAAAAAAAAAAATACTGAGAACTTTGGTTTTTCCCACCCTATATATCATTCCCTGGGAGTTTAATGTTAGGTGATGACTGAAAAAGTAAAATAAGACAAGAACTGTCTTTTCAACAATAATAATTTGACCTGCTAAAGTTGCATTAATCAAGATTTTTTTTTTTTTTTTGAGGGCCATTCTCTACAAAGATCACATGTTTAAACCTGAAACTTGATCTGAGATTCAAAATAGATGTGTATGAAGCTAAAATACCTACACTTTTAATGCAGTAAGTAACTTTTTCTTCTCATAAATGGTCCAAAGTTTGTCGTAACTAAGCATTTTCTCCTGTGGTTTGGTTGATTTTTTTCTTGGAGCCCTTCCAACCTTCTCTGAAAAGTGAAGTACAACATAATTACTGCACAAAAAGGTAAAAAAGACCCCAAACCCATACCTAGATCGATCTAGCAGGACTGACCCTCCTCCAAGGGTTTTTTCGCTAAATTGCGTTCAGCTTACATGGCTTAGATATCTGGCATGCTCACTAGTTAATTACCCTTGTAGATGAGTCGATCCTGCTAGATCTATATGTAGGCATGGGAACAGGGTCTATACCCAGTATGTAGCAAGATAAACATATTTCATTCTTATAATAGATTGGCAATAATGTCAACAACTAAATGCAGATGAACAATACTTAAACAATGTTATCAAATTACTTTCATAGAATTACCTGGCTTCTTTTTGACTGGTTTCTTTTTAACCATTTTTACACTGAGCTATGGGACTACTCTACAACCACAAATTCTTCAATTTCTTGATCAGAACAGCAGTGGGGGAAAGTTTCCTGCAAATTAATGACAAATATATAACAAGTAGGGTTTTTTTTTTGCATCGGATTCTGGAGATTACCACTGAAAAGCACTCTACATCAAAGCAGGATAACCCACAAAAAAAAGGTACATCAAATTTCAGGTATTTTTCAAAAAAATTTTTGGTATTATAGAGGACGAGCGGTCTACTTCTATGGTCAAAGATTTTAATTCGCAATATGACAAAGGCTGCAACAAATGTCAAAAATGCTTTAAGTATATGAACCATCTGATAAACTTAATTACTAGTTCAATATTTCTTTCCACAGATATTTAATTGATTTACCCACTTCTGTCCCCGTTTAGTGATTATTTCCTTTTCATATGTGCAGGTGCTTAAACTTGTGCACAAAAAATGATGACGCGTCAAACGACTACGTCATGAAATTTGGGAAACGCAAGTTTCCGAACAGCAGCGAAGATAAAATTCTACTTTGTGATTGG